TCCTGCTGCAGATTGTATTAGATCAGTACAGTCCTTGTTGGAGCTATTCATTTTTAAACACTGATTCTAATTACAGCACCTTGGTTGTAAAGCAGAAGTTGCCAGGAGTCTACGTGCAGCCTTCTTACCGATCAGCATTAAGTAAGTTCAGGAGCAGGTGTTTTAATTACCCTATCTTTTTGAGTGGCTTGTACCCATTCATATGACTCTTTTTGCTTGCAGTGTGGTTTGGAGTAATATTTATTAGGCATGGACTCTACCAGGATGGGGTGTTTAAATTTACAGTCTATATTCCTGATAACTACCCAGATGGTGATTGCCCGGTAAGTGTTTTATTTCACTAATTTTCTGACTCTTTCCTTCTTCCTTTTTAGGGGTTAGAGGAAAATGTGTCAAACTGGCTTAGTTCACTGAGGTAGTGAAAGCTGCACCACTGCTGTGTGGCTAGAGCTTTCGCTGTACCCTGCTTGTGATCTGCAGAAGACATTTCTTTTATAGCAACTCCTCCTAGACTGCTTTGGGAGTGAAGTTGACTGTTCGTAGCTCACCCACTTATCTACTAGTGATTTTGGGCCCTAAATTTTGGTTGCTGAGCCTCACTGAAAAGTTATTGTAAAACACTGGATGCATAGGTCTCTCTTAGAGTGGCCGACAACTAATCACCTCTTAAGCTGAAAGGGAATTGCTTGTATTCTCTAATTTTTGTTACAGTTTTGATTATGTAAATTAAGTGCCATACTGTAAGCATGAACAAAAAAACTGCACAGAAATAATAATGTACTAAGACATCAATGCAATGCTTGGCCTTCTACTAAACTGCAGTATTTCTGGCATATGAATTGGTTGCACACAAAACAGGGAAAGTTACAAGGAAGCAGGGGTGAGAAGAGGGAGTCTTAACTTCTTTCTGCTGAGCCTTTTACAGGTTTCCTTTTTGTGCACAGCAATATTCATTTTGCATACCTTTGTACAACTAGGGCATGTCCAGAAGTGCATGGATACTCTGTTTCCCAGGAACACACCTGTGCCACGTGTGCTTTGGCATGTGGCAAGTTGTCCCAGGTGGGATAGGGGAGGCTGGGGCCAGTAGCTTTTACGTGGGGGCCTCCTGGGGTTGCAACTGTGGCGATTCTGTTGCTTGGAGCCTGGAACTGGCCCACCCAGAGCCACTTTTCAGCAGCAAGTGCTAGCCAAGCGTGCATTGCTTTGTGTTTGTTTGTGGGTTTTTTGACCCCTGTGTATTCAGGGCTCAAAAAAACCTGGTGTAGCGCACGCTCAGGCAGCATGCCTTGCAGTGCAGAGAACAATGGACTGTGTGGTATGTGACGCTGCAAATGTATTTACAGCAGCACATACTACATGACCACACTTGTCTGGATGCACCCCTAGGTATGCACTAGAATACTTTGTCCATTCCTGAGAAATCGGTTTGTTTAACTGCTTTCAGAGCAAACGGAGGGTGTTTGTCCAAGTTTCTAGAAAAATAATTCTTATCCTATGGGGAGAATATCTTGGCTGAAAATAGCAGTCACTAAATGCTGAAAGCAACCAGTTCACTTGATAGTCTTTTACAGGGAGCTTCAATGTCCCTTTTACAGGTACAGTATCAGTGGGGAAACATTGAGTAATGTCAAAACTTAATGGCATATTTTATGCCGGTATCTATGTATGTATGCCACCTTTGGTGTTGAAATCATTTTCCTATCAAAACTAATAGTCATCTTACAGGGATTTAGACAGGAAAAAGTGTAAAAGCCATGACCTTGAAGTGGGATTGGCCATGGGCCATGCTGTTGAACATTCAGAATAAAATGGAAATGTCTTGAGTGAGACTAGAGAAATGCTAAGCGTAACTTCTGACAAAAATAAAAATGGCTATCTATCACAAGTGACTCTTTAAGATGTCTCCTTTTACTTATGCCTAAATTCTTAACTGTGTGCTAGCCATGAAATGCATAGCTATAAATGCTTATTTTTATCAATAAGTGAATTTACAGCTAGACTTTGACTTCTGTAAAGTGACTTGGAACTTTTCTTTTCCCCCTCTGCTGCAGCGCTTGGTTTTTGATCTACCGGTCTTTCATCCACTAGTAGATCCCCTCTCAGGTGAACTGGATGTGAAAAGAGCATTTGCAAAATGGAGGTCAGTATTGAATTAGACATATGGTCTTTTGATATTGAAAATGATGCCACACTAATACTGTATTTTTCATTTAGGCGGAACCATAATCACATATGGCAAGTACTAATGTATGCTCGTAGGGTCTTCTACAAGATTGATACAACAAGTCCTTTGAATCCAGAGGCTGCAGTGCTGTAAGTGTCCTCAAATTATTTGGGCTATGAATAGTTTACAAACTAACAGTCTATTTACTTAGACAAAATAAGATTTTTTTTAAAAGAACCAAACATCTGTGACATGGTATGAAGTACTTATGGTATTATTTCTTTATACAACTTGTCAGCTGGTTGTGAGCACCTAAGCCTAAGCCATAGGTCTTCTGGTTGACTCATCTGAAGACTAGAAATAGCTTGCAACCTTGCTAATGTTATATGAAGTATTAAAACCTGTTTCTTTTCTAGATATGAAAAAGACATTCAGCTGTTCAAAAGTAAGGTTGTAGACAGTGTCAAACTATGCAGCAGTCACTTGTTTGACCAGCCTAAAATAGAGGATCCCTATGCAATTACGTGAGTAGCATGTCAATTATAACGAAGTGCATATGTTTGACTGTTAGATTGAAAAACAGCCCTGCTATAACTTTTGAATGGGTACTAATTTGGCAGTTACTTCTGGTTTAATGACTCAGACTTGTTTCTGTAAGTTTATTATGATTATTGTGGTCTCACCTTGTGTATTCAGTAACTCACTGGTTCCCAACTTCTGGGTGAGACCCAAATCAGGGTCACAAAGGGCCCACACACAGACTCTCACGCATGGCCTGGGTGTGGCGGGTGGGTTGCAGCTGCACTCCACTCCCAGCAGCCCCCGCAGTGCCAGGTCAGGAGGTGCTGTTGGTGGCCAATTTAGGGTCACCGCAACAAAAGGTTGGTAACCACTGCAGTAACTGAAGTGTTTCTTCACCTTTTAAATAAGGTACCTTTTTAAAATTAATCTTGCTTTCAGGTATGTGAAGTTGAATATGCATACGTGTGGCTTGAACTGCTGCAGTGGCCATATTTTTGTGATGGCTTCAGTTTTTACAGATGTGTTGAGCATTTGGGTTGGGAAGTTAGTACTGTTAGGAATTAGCTGGGTGCTAAATGAACAAGTTCTTGGTGTCATTATTGGCAGAAATGTGCATCCATGTGCTTGTTACCAAGTAGATTAAACCTATAAGATGCCATTCTATAGTGTAGATCTGCTCCCTTGATGTGCTCAGCTGGAAATATTTTGCCGATTGGAAAAGCTGAAAAAGTAGAATTTGGATGATTTTGTGTCACTGACTCCTATCTAGTTTAGAAATTATTTTACACTTAATTTCACCTGCATAAACTTTTTATAATGCTTCTCCTTTCTTCTGTAGGTTCTCTCCATGGAATCCAGCTATACATGATGAAGCTAGAGAGAAGATGTTGACTCAAAAAGTATGTAGACACCGTCCAACCTATTTTTGCTACAGTACAATTGGATGTATAAGGCAGTGCAGAGGAACCCATCTAAATTAAATATCCTAATTTTTAGGTGGTGAGCTTCCAGTAACTCCAACACTTACGATTTACTTTTGCAACCTTGGAGCATGCTAGCTTTTATATTCATTCTATAATGTCAAGTGATTGGAGGCAGTCAGTATCAGTCCACCTCGTTATTATTCTGTTATCTAGTGTCAACTTCCTCACTACTTTTCATTGAGAAAAACTTGATATCTAGTGACCTTTGCTGAGAGGAAGGATGTGCTTTGCTAAAACAGGAGAGAGACACCCAGTTGGTTGTAGGGAACCACTGAACATTGGAAATTCCCTGGCTATCACCCTAGCTGTCTTATTCTACATTATGCTTCACAACCCATGGCTCTTCTGCTCAAGCAGATATTGACACCTCTGGATCTCAATAGTTAGACTCCTAGTATTTGAATCTACTTGACTTCATCTGGATTGTCTGATTTAAATGTTAGTTGAGAAGGGTAGCTAATTTCATGTCTTCTGGGCATAAAAAAAACGCGTACAAAAAGCCAGGGAATACAGGCAGATGTTTTGCACCCTCCAGGAAGATTAAAACAAATGACTGTTCCAGGGAAGGGGGACTTTAATGGGACCTTTCTCCCAAATTTTCCATCCTTCTGATCAGAAGCTTTTAACCTGGCCCCTGAACGGGAACCAACTATGAGACTGGCTTGATGCGCTGAAGCATAGTTGAAGTAACCTACTTGCAGAGTACCACGAGTTTCTGTGTTGGCAGCTGGACAATGAAGCAGGTTCACAGTACCTTCTACCAGCCATTGACTGTTATACCCCTTTCCCTGTGGCTCTGGCAGGCTCTGTTGTCTCCAAGTGTGGTGTGCTTACATAGTCTCTGGCCTAAACAGACTCTTTAAAGGCTAGGTAAGTGGTGCTGGCTCCACACAGAACATGTCAATTTCTAGCTGCCTGTAAGATGTAACAGATGTTGGAAGGAGATGGCCCTTGTCCAGTCTTAATGTCCACAAGAGGATGACTTGATAAATCTCTCCATCTGGATTCTGACTTTCATGTTCCCTGGGGACTTAAAGATCAAGCTCTCTCTCTCTGTGTTGCTGCAGCGATCAAGAGGATTGCCTAGGGATGTTTAGATTGTTATCATGTTCTCTTCCACTTAGATGCATCTAACTACTGTGGTAGCTTGCCATCTTATCCTTCACTTTGCCAGGCAGGGTTTAAAAGTCTGTTTTACCCTTAAATGGACTCCTATATTCTACTTGCCAAGATAGTGCTTCATTGGTAGAAGACAGGAAGTCTTGTTTTAGCTGAGAGCAGAGATCTACCTTGTATGAACATCTTAGAAGAGCAGAGTATATTTTAAATGAGTTGATTAAGTCTGTATAAAATATTTAAAGTATATTTTTGCCCTAGACCAAAGAGCTACTGATATGATAGTTTGGTTAAGATGTAATGGATTTCAGAGGATAATAAAACAAAACCAAACCCCAGACAAACCCCAAACTTTAAAATGGGAAACACTTGGCTACATCAGAAATCTGGACATGAGGACAGGTATGTCCCAGTATAAAGCATGTAAGAATGCAAACCTCATGCAGGATAAGTATCACATGGTCCACTTTCTGAAAAACCTATGCTTGTGCCAGCATGTTGGTGGTGCCATGTCACTTAAGTTACAGTTAACTCCCACTTGGATCACCTAACAATCCCCACTGATTAGTATTTTGGGTTGTGATGGACTTTGGTCAGTCCCTAGCCCAGTAGTGTCAATATGTGCACCAGAACTGGTGTATCGCATTTGGATATGATGCAGCTGGCATAAAGATTGGCCTTTTATTGTGTAGGACTCATTCTGAACTGCTAGCATAAAGTGGGGTGGCCAGAGATACAGCCTTCCATGCAGAAATCTGCACCCTGATTCCTTCCCCTCTTTTCTGTTTGCAGCATCTGAAGTTTAATTTAGTATTTTGCCCATAGCTGCTGCTGCTTTGTTAATATTCCTAAAGTTCTATTATTTTCAACTTGGTCCTTTCTTAATTCCCAGTAATATATTTGGACTACTAATTTGTTGTTAAATGGCCTTGATACTCATCCATGAGTGTCGGGTCCATCATAATAATGTTTAGCATTGCTAGGATTAGTTAAAGCTTGGAATTCTGTCTGTATTGGGAGATTCTCTTGCATCTTAAGCAAGATGCTCTGGTGTGGAAGAACTCTTCAGTAAAGCTCCGTTCAAATGAGTAGTGCCACCAGACTGGCGACTCAGTTTCCTGAGCCATAGTTTAATCAAATTAAAGTTACCAGCTTCAACACCACCTGCTCTTGACAATAGAATCAGACAAATGCCAGGTGGGAGGGCACTGGGAATAGAGCCTTTTAAATGCAGGTGGGTGTATTAGCTGTGGAGTAGACAAGGAGAGACTGAACAGAGGCATCGATCTGTTTTGTTTTTTTTTTGTTTTTTTTAATGGTACCTCATGCCACATGTAGAACTAGCAGATGTGGCTTGCCATCTGAAAGTTGCCATCATTATCGTGTTATGCAGTTGTCAGTTTTAAACTAGTGCTCCTATCTCAGAAACTGGGTTGGGCATAATTTGAGATCTTTATCTTCCTGGTATTTGGATTTTTGGTTCAGGGGTTTATGCAAGTCTTGCACAGTTTGTTATAAAAACCTCCTTTTGATCATTCAAATGGGTCTGATGCTTAATTCTTTTCCTCCTTAGAAGAAGTCAGAAGATCAGCACTGCAAAAGCATGCATGTGTCTGGCCTTTCATGGGTAAAGCCTGGTTCAGTTCAGCCTTTCAGCAAAGAAGAGAAGACGATGCCTACCTAGTGTTTATGGACATTGACACACAAACACTTCATGCGGGTGGAGGGAATGTAATGGAGAGAGACGCAGCAAAGCAGTGACTTTTTTTTTTTCCTTCCTTCCTGATCATGGATTCATAATCTGAATGACAGCAGTGACTCCAGTAAATCTACTCAGTGGAGTGCTTTGACTCTTAATGTTTTACATATTCATTAGTTTTAAAGGAAGCCTGGAGTTTGGAAGTATCACTGAATATTACAGTGCTTCTCTTAGAAAACTCTCTGGGGTGGGTAACTCCTCAGGGTGCTAAAATGCCTGGAGGCTTTGGGTTGCTTTTCTTTTTAAGCTTTTATTTTTGCCCCTCCAGGAATAGCATTTTTGAATTTCTAAAATGCTGGCAGAAAAATTAGCAGGAAAAAATGGTGCCAGAGGTAAGCTGTGTTTATGTAAACTAATAGCAGAGTTAAACACTATATATTTAATGGTTCTAAATACATTGGTTTCTATTGTAAATACATTAGCGTTTGAAATTTGTAAATAGCTGGTCAAATGACTCCCTCTAGCACTTTCAAGGAAGGCAAGGCTGAGTTGGTACTCAGTATATAGTGCATTATTAACTTCAAAAATACGTTGTCACTAAAATGCACATTAGTCTGACAAAATGAGAGCAGTGGTAGGCTTACTAGGTTTTTATTGCAGAGGCTAAAATGAAAGCTTTTAATGAGGTGTTTTTTATCTAATAAAATCTTAAATTCTCAAGTTGTTTATGCAGCAGGGATTACTAAACTAGTTTGACTAATGTGTGTTTAATAGTGACTTCTTAAAACAATTAAAAAAAATCATGGTAACCTCTGCATTGTCCCTTTTTTCTGTTCACTAAACACTAGACTTAAAGACTAAGTATTAATGAAGATACTGGTCTACTTGTTCTTGTCTGAATGATTCGTAGTATATGCTTAGTTCAGTGTTTTGAAGGTCCTCTGCTAACAAAGGCTTCAAATTGGAGGAGCTTTCTTGTGTGTTGCAGCCAAAAGATCTGACTATGAATAGTAGGTTGTTCAAACTGCCAGCCACACCCATGCTGAGGAAAGTAGAAGTGGTGTGTGTTAGTGGTGTTAGTTTGCTCATTCTTCTCAAATACCATTGTTTTTAAACTTCCATGATGATAATGCTGTTACTCAGACTGCCCTGAGGACAGCAAGTACCTTTGTACCAGCGCATACCCAGAGTTCCTTGCATGTGAAAGCTTTCCTGACAGCTTGTTTCCATGCCTGATTCAATGTGGAAAGTCAGCTGGAGTTGGGGTTTCTAAGGTCCTCTTTCTGCTGTTCCAGTCACCTATGTATGGCTCAAAAGGACTGAAGCATGGCCGAGTACTGTGCTTGACACTTCAGAAGGTAATTTTTTAAATGCAGAAATGTGATGCTTTGGAAAAACAAATTGCTTACCGAATGGGGGAAATGATGAGGATTTGTTTTACTAGATCAGGGTGGGCAAAGTCCAGCCCACAAGTTAGCAGTGCACTTCATTTCCCAGCAGCTCCTGCCTGCATGGCTGGGGCTGGTCTCCATGGAGACCCTAGCTGCACCTCTGCTGTGATAGCGCAAGGCTGTGGTTGCTATGGAGACTGGCCCCAGCTGTGCTGGCAAGGTGTGTGGCAGGGCAGGACAGGGAGCTGCTCCGGAGCCACTGGGATCTTGTAACGGGGGCAGCTTGGTCTGGGGCCAGGGCAGAGCTGTGATTTGCAGCCTGCACACACTGGTGCAGGGGCGCGCAGGCAGAGGCTCTTCACAGCTCTGCCCCGGCTCCTTGCAACAGTGACAGCCTGACCCCGAGCTGGGGCAGAGCCATGCTCCACTACCTGTGTGCCCCTGCCCAGATCATGCAGGCTGCAGATCGTGGGTGGCTCTGCTTGCCCTTGCTGCAAGATCCCAGTAACTCTGAAGCAGCCCCCTGCCCTGCCCTGCCCTGCCCTGCTGTGCGCCCTGCCAATGCAGCTAGGGCTGGTCTCCTTGGCAACCACAGCCTTGTGCTATCACAGTACAGGTGTGGCTGGGGTCTCCATAGAGACCAGCCCCAGCCATGTGGGGATGGGCTGCTGGGAAATGGGAGTCCAGCTGCTGGCCAGATCTGCCATTTTGCCCAGCCCTGCACTAGATTAGTATTGATTGTTTGAAGCTTGTCTTTTCCTCAGGAACAAATTTTGGGTTACAGTTTAAGGAGATGTGTTAAAAATAGTCCATTAACTAGTTGAGGAAAATCCCTGGCTTCGTAGGGGGAGTAGGCAGTGTCCCAGAAACAGATACCTAAAGTTACATGGCTGGAGGGTAGACTGCTGTTTCCTTTCCCCACTCCTTCCTCCCCCTTCCCTTTTTTTTAAATCCCTTCTGCCCCCCCACCCCCAATCTGTTGCATCACCTGCAATTTACTTACAACAAATAAGGAAAATATATCTTCCAGTTCCTCCCCACCTACCCCTGAAGGACATTGCCCTTCCTCACTTAAGCTCTAGTTGACAAAGCCAAGGGCTCCTTATGTTGGTTTTGGTCACTGTTACCTACTGGTGCTGCCTTCTTTCCATCTCATCTGGCAAAAGAAGCACAAAACAATTAAATAAATGTCATTCGTCAAATAAGTGATCTTGTTTGTTCAGGACTCTTTGCGAGGTTGAGCTCTCTAAGGGAGAGATGTAGTACGGATAGGCCTTTGCTCCTTAGATGTTGTCTTACTCTGCCTGTAGCAACATAGTTTATAAACTGAGATATTCTTGTTGCTAATCTCTTGGTGTTAATAACAAAGGCATTTATTAATAGACCTGTGCAATTATTAGTGCGTCTCTTTTTTGAGGTTTTTGGTTACAGTCGTGTTGGTCTAAGGACTTAGGCAAGGTTCTTTGAGTAGATGTGATATCTCTTATTAGACCAACTAAGCAGTTGGAAAAAAGTTCTTAGCAAGCTTTTGGGTACAATCGCCCTTCAAGCATAGGGAGTTTCTGCTGTTTTGAGATCTCCAGGGAATGAGAAAAGCTAAAAGTGTGATGGGATGCGAGTGAGAATATAAATAGGTGGAAATTAGGAAGCAGAAAGGGAGGGAGGGGGAGAAATGAGGGGCAAGATGCCAAAGGTCAGTAAGGGTGACTACTGTACCCGAGGGTAGAAAAGAGGCTGTCTGTGAAAAAGTAAATAGCTGGAAATTAGGAAGACAAAGGGTTGCAAAGGAGGGGAGGAGAAGAAAGGGTGGGGGGGGGAAAGTCAGGTCTGGCAGGTACCTGGTGAATTGGATGTCAGGCAGGATTTAATGTCATAAATCCAATGTCTATATTGTCATGATATCTTGTATCCAGTAAACATATGAAGTGAAGTTCGTAGGCTTGTCTATGAATGGTGTTTTAAAAGTTCCCTTTTGAGGATTAGAACTGAGAGCTTCAAGAGTGATTGTCTTGTGAGAAGTGTGCCCCCTCGGGTAGTTGAATATCTTGTTCTTGTGTTTGATAAATTTTCAGTGTTTGTTCATTCTAGCATGTAGTTGTTGTTTGGTTTCTCCTACATATTTTCCATCAGGCATATGGCATGCTGGATGAGATGTATAACATTTCTGGAGGTGCAGGTGTAAGGAATAGTGATGGTTCTGTTGTGGGGTGTAGTTATAGTGGGAGTGGTGGAGATACATTGGCAGGTTCTGCATTTCTTGGCCTGGCATGGTCTGGATGTATTTTGGTGTGGTTTGGGTCATAGGGAGTTCGCTTCTGGTGATGAGGTTAGGTCCTTGTTTAAAGGGAAGGATGGGTGGTTCTGCAAAGATCTCTTTAAAAATTGGGTCATCTTCTAATATGGGTTGCACTTGTTTGAGGATTTTTCCATTTACGTTTTTACTGACATCCTTTCACACTTCTTAGTTTCTTTTATTCCTTGAGAGATCTTGGAACAGCAGAGACTCCCCATGCCTGAAGAAGGGTAATTTGTGCCCAAAAGCTTGCTAAGAACTTTTTCCAACTACTCAGTTGGTCTAATAAAAGATATCACATCTACCCAAAGAACTTTGCCTGTCTCTTTTTTGGATACACTTAAGTTGAGCAAAAAACCTCTCATTTTGATTTAGTAATAATGATCGTTTTGAAATGAATTTCAGATCTCCCTTTCCCCTCCCCCCACTTTGAGCTGGTGGGGGAAGGAAATTTTATTTTTTTTGAGCTGGAGTTTTTTCATGACCAGCTTGGCAAACCTAATTAATTTATGAACTGTTTCAGTGTTCTTTAGATCTGTATTACTTGACTTTATTGCTCAGTTTGCCCTCTAACTTCTGCAGCAACTGAAACGCCTTGAGAAATGGGTAGAGAGCAGGAAGTAGAAAAGCATAAGGTCGTGGGGGAAACTTTTTGTATGTGCCAGGTAGGGTAGCCATCAAGGTACCTCAAGAACAGAGGACAGTGGCCCTCTCCACCCAGTCTCCTGAAGGCTCAGAAATGGAGGACAGCCAAGCACTGAAAAGTAGAGGACATAAAGGTAGAAGACAGGACCAGAAAACCGGACTGTCTTCTATAAAACTGGATGAAAGGCCACCCTAGTGCCAAGTGACTTCAGATGCTAAAAGCACTTTTTTGAAATAAGAAGTTAAGTCTTCAAATCTTCTCGCACTCAAGAAATCTTACCACATCTGTCTGCAGAAGGAAGCCTGTAGCAAAACTTCCATTCATCTCTCCCTATGGTTTCTGGGTTGTCTTGGGTTTTTTTTGTTTCCTTTTCTATGCTGAATAGACACATTAGAGATGGTTGCCCTCCTTTAGCAATGTGTAAGGAGACCCTTTGCCATGCTGACA